TTCCAGCAATCAACTATCGGTGCCGATTAATCGGCAAAACCGATACATCGGTCGACCTCTAATTATATATATACTTTATTATAATGAAAATTATAATCGTAAGAACTCAGATAAACCATATATTGCCCTAGTCATGTTGAATCAATGAAAGCATTTAAATCTTCTGTTTATTCAGCAACCACTACAGGGATTTCCTGGGTTTCTTCTGCAAGGCGTATTTGGAGTTTCTGCGCGAGAGCGCCCTCTGGCCTTCGGATGGAGATTTACTGCTGATCACAGAACCGTGCTTCACTGAACGATACGCATGACAAACGCAGCTTCTGCCTAATCGCGCTTTCGATTTCATTTTGATTTATCATGCAGCCCTAGCCAGTGGTTTACGTCAAGAACTGGTCAAACTCACTAGCTTCAATTAATAAATTCAAAAATATAACTGGTGAGTTCAAGGCTGATTCAAGAGTTTTTTTGAAAATTAAATCGTGGCCTAATGGTTAGAGAGTCGGACTCGTAACCCAAAGGTTGCGAGTTCGAGTCTCAGGTCCGGCAGGAAGGTGGGGGGAGTGAATGTACAGCGACTTAGGATGGGATAAATGCAGAGCACTAATTCCTAGTATGGGTAACCATACTTGGCCACATGTCACGTCACGTTTAATACCTGGTCTCCATTGACTTGCATAGTATGGAGGAAAAAATATATATAATTAAAGTCAATGGGGACCAACAACTGTTTGATTACCAACATTCTTCAAAATATCATCTTTTGTGTTCAACAGAAGAAATTTATACACGTTTGGAACTTTAAAAAAAAAAAGTTTTCTAACACTACTGTGGGATTACAAATTTAAGAATCTGTTTAAAATATGCTGATCCTATGTTCTGACATAGCATCACATGAAAAACTAAGGTGAAGTACATTGTATTTAGCATTTAAGGTAAATTACATCAGACAAATGATTATCTTAAGCAAAGTGTAGCAAGAGGTTCCTGTCTGTTCCTGTTCTCCTATTGTTAGTAAAATGAACCAGATTACTGAGACGATCACCTTTTGTTTGTAATGGCTCTTGGTGCCTCTGCCCCAGTCTTTGAGTAGTTATACTGATTGGATTAGGACTGTCAGACTGATTGGATTAGCACCTATGCATTTGAATGACACTGTTATGCTGATGAGATCAAGGCTAGGAAAATGTCGGGCTGATTGCCTGTACTTCATTTGCATGCTATGGGTTAGATTGTCTCCACCTCTACTGAATGTATCCCGCCCCTTTAAAATTTATATAAACTACAATGTAACACTACGTTAGTCAGACTTGGATGACTGCAGCGACGCTCGAGTCCTCAATAAAGAGTGACTTCTGTATGAAACATATCCCAACGTCTCCTGGTCTCTGCTTCGACGAGGAAAAAGTTTCCAACACTACTATCATAGTACTGTTCTTGTCCACATTGGTGGAAGAAAGCAGAGGTTCAAGAACTGCTAATGTAATGAAATTTCACTTGAAAATCACTTAATGTTTTGAACAGGTACTGAACAAGAACCAAACCTCAAGCACAAACAGAAACTCATCTGTACCTGACATCTCCTTGTTTTGTATTCATTCCCCCATCAGTCTTCCAGCCAGCATGGCTGCCGTCTCTGGGGGTACGGGAGTGGGCACTGGTGGGGGGCGGCGCTCTGCCACCAGCTGGTCGATCAGGCATGGACACCTGTCTGCGCTCATCACGGTCGCGGATTTCTCGGCGATCGCTGTCGCGCAGCTCTGCACGAGGTGGAGGTGGTGGTTCTGCTCTCCGCACGGTTTCAAAGTTTTTAGGATAGCGCTCAAACCCTGAGCCTTCACGGCGAGGAGCAGGTCGATTCTTCTTTGATTCAGGTTCACCATCGAAGCGATTGCGTCTGCAAAAAATAAAAAAAATCCATCGCTTGCTGTTGATTTCACAAATTTTAACTTGTGCTAATTTGGAAATTTGGTAGGTTAGCGCAACTTGTTCTCTCTTGTTCTCGTTTGAATAAAAGTGCCTGCGAAAAAGATTAAACAGAAGCTGAAAATCTGAAATCTTCAGCTGTGGCCTGGTCTCTTCTCCTACCTGTCCTATTGTGTTTGAGAATTGCATCCATGTTCATGAATGCCTACCTATCAAAGTTGTTGGATTGCACAGCTGATGTCTGCTGGTATCGGTTCCGGTCTCTAGGGTTGAAATCATTGAAGCGGTTCTGTTGTCGATTGTTGTAATCTCCGCCTTGACTGATCCGTCCCTCTGGCTCAGTCTGCATCTTTTTACCACTATTCCAGTATGGATCTTCCCTCCTGCACAGACAGAGAAGAAAAAAAAAACACTGACCATTTGAATCTTAAGAGACCAATATACCCTAAAAATTAATATGTAACAGTATTGTTCACACACCTTTGGTCAACGTCGCGTCCCCTCTTTAAGTTGTTTCGTTTCTCCTGCTCATAGCGCAACTGTTCCTGCTGCCGTCTTAGCTCCTCGCGTTCACGAGCTAAACGCTCCGCTTCCTTGCGTCGCTCCTGCACACACAGCACATTAATGTAAAGACAAAATCCCAGCTTTGAGTTTCCACAGGCAGGTGTATCGTGGCTGTACCTGCTCTATACGGATCCGCTCCCGTTCCAGTCTCTCTCTCTCCATGCGCTCACGTTCGAGTTTCTGCCTTTCCACCTCCAGCCTTTGCCGCTCTCTCATCAGGTTCTCTCTTTCCTCACGCTCACGCATAATACGGATTCGTTCCCTCTCCCGGCGCTCTCGCTCTGCTACCTCGCGCCGTCTGGACGTCACAACAAAACAGCATTACAAAATGCTGCTTAAGCACTTTGCCATTTTATTTGCGAATGAAAAGGAAGGCATGCCTACCTGCGCAGTTCCATAGCCCTGCGAATGTGTTCCATCCTGACCATGCGCTCACGCATCCTCTGTTCCTTCATCTTCTCAAACGGCAGGATGTCTTTGTTGCCACCTTTGTTAAGCATGGGACGGCCTTTCTCCATCTGCAAGTATGTAAACTGGTCAAACAAAATACTAAAGAGAGTGCATGTGGCCTTACTAATTCAGATGTTCAGAATGTTTTCAGAGTTAACAAACCTCCTCAGGTGGTATGAACCCTCTGGGACGTCTGTTCATCATGTTGGGAGGACCAGGCTGTAGAGAAATAGACAATCGGATCATTTGGCCTTGATAAAAACCTCTTTACATGGCAATACAGTACATACTGAGGATGTCTGTGGTACCTTCTCAAACCTCCCGCCCCTTCTGAAAGGAGGACGAAATTTATTGAAGTTTTGCTCTCCTTTAGCTTGGTTGATCACCATCATATTGCCTGGACTCTTTCCTGCAGATGGGAAAGCATTAAACACATAACTATAAAGTTTTAAGTTTTTAAACTTCCTCAGTAGGTGAATTCAATCAAACCGTAACATACGTCCATGCTTCTTGTCATCTTTCTTTGCTGCGTCGGCTCCTGAATTGGAAGAAGGTGCATCAGATTTGTTGGTTTTGTAGTCCTGTTTTTTGACGTCTTTGCAGTCCTTCTCAGATGATTTGTCTGATTTCTTCTCTTCCTTCTTAGATAAAACTGGTGTCCTATTGAAAATAAAGGAAGGTGGGAAAAATAACCAATGCAATGAAATACTCCTCCCCTTTAAAAGAACAGAAAGAGATTAAAACTGGATTAATGCTTACTTGCTGGAAGTTTTTGCCCCAGTTGGAGTGCGCTTTTCTCCAGAAATTTTACTGGAACTTGTCTTCTCTTCTCCCTCTTTCTTTGAGAAGTCCTTTTTAAATGGGTCAGTTTTCACCTATGAGGACGATACCATGAGATCAGATATCAAGTTTGAAAGTACCAAGTATCAAGGTTATTTTTATTTTTCACAAAAGCACACACTATTGATGATGTTTGACTATTATGTAAAGCCCATATAAGGTGCTTAAATATGTTGACAATCCCACTGTTAAAGCACAATGGTTAAGCTCTTACCCTGTCCACAGATATCTGTTGTCCATGGAGTTCTGTGCGGTCCAGGTGAGAGATGCACCTGGCCACTTCTGCGCTGGATGACATGGTAACTAATCCATAACACTTGGCTCCTGGGCTACGAGCATTGGTGACCACTTTGGCACTAAAAACCTATTTTGAAAACAAAAATTTTGAAAATGCTGTCACAATCCTTAATTACAAACATGTTAATTATAAGCTGGTGCCTATTTATCATATACAAAGAGCCTTTACCTTTCCATATTTGCCAAAGAGGTTCTTGAGATCAGCTGCTTTGGTGTTGGACGACAGGCCGCTCACCCACAGATTGCGAGTAAAGCTGGTACTGCTGCTGCCACTTCCTGAAGACAGATAACAGGCTTTAGAAGACACTCTACTTGAGGATCAGAGCAAAATAACTTTCCGAATAATGAAGCTTCTAATTTTAGATTTTTGAGAATTGGATAATACTGGAGTTTTATCACTTAGCCCAGCTGCTGTGTATAAACTTAAAAGTAAACTGTTAAGTCCAAAATTTCAAAATGCAAACCCATTTAAGAAAGTCATACCTTTTTCATCTTTTGTAGTCTTTCCATCTCTGTCTTTTGAAGAGCTAAAATGTGAACATTATGAGAGCGACAAGAAAAGAGAAATACTTTAATGAGGACCAGAGCACGAGAGAAGACGACTGTGGGGCATCGAGGTACATCTCCAAACAAACAACAAAGGTTATACAAATGTTTGGTGCATTACAGAAAAAGAAAAAGAACCAAAAAAACAACAACAAAAAAATCCCCATAGGCAAGGCTTGCACTCGGCCAAAACTCCAATAAGGCTTCTTTCTCTTGCTTTTCCACAGGAGCAAGGTGGGTCAGGTTTTCTGCCAATTTATTCCCTTGACCAATGACATCCTCAGGAGGGTGTTCAACTTCAGAGAGAATCACTTCACTGGACTGACAAACCCCTCTGACATCACTGGAACTATTGCTCTTTTTTTAACCCACAAGTAGGGACTGGAAAAGCAAGTGCTGGAAATGTGTGCGTAACAGACGTGTTTTCAGCTCCTCGTTTAACTCCACCAATTACCAAACTCGAAAAAATGGCAAACCAAACCATAAGAACAAACCAAAGGCAGGGAGATTAGGTACAATGAACAGCTTGTTATGAAAAAATTATTTGCGCCTACCCACAATGCTGAGTTCTTAGTGAGCTGGAACTTGGTAGTAGTATCTTAAAGAACTGACATAGAAAGACAAACCTCTTTGCTTGACCTGTCGCCCCAGTTGAAGAGGGGCCTTTCTTCCCAGAATCCTTTTCCTTGTCTCCTGTTTCTCCTTTCTTCGAGGCCTCTCTGCTGTCCTTCTTGGCGGCGTCAGACATCAGCCCGTCATCTCTCTTACCATCCTTGTGGCCATCTATCGCTTCAGTCAGTGAGTCTATCTCCTGCCCCATCTCAGCAGTGGCCTCAGGCTCTTCGCAGCCCTTGTCTGCCTCAGAATCTGGAAGTTTCACATGTTTACCTGTTTCCAGGAGATCGTCGCCATCTACATCCAGCGTGATGGCATCTTCGGCCTGGATGGTGACAGATATATTGTCATCCTCAACTTCTTTTATGGGTTCAGGAGCAGGTTCGCTCTCCAAGGCTTCCATCGCTGGGACTTCAGGCTCGGCTTCTCTCTCAGCCTCAATCTCGGCATCAGGATCGGGCTCGGGTTCGGGTTCTGCTTCTGCTTCAGCCTCAAGATCAGGCTCCACTCCTACCTCAGCCTCGGGCTCTGCAAGGCCGTCTTCACAGGAGAAGGTTTTAGAATTGTCACGAGTAGCATCATCAGTATCAGTTACATCTGAGGGATTTAACAAGCATAAAACATGGCAAAATAACACATTGTTTAACATTCAAATCTCTGTGCTACGAGACCTAGAAAGTATAACAAAGAGCAAGTTTAGTGTTAGTGGTCATCGTGGGTGAGGAAACCACAGGTACACATAAAAACACATTCCTTAGAGAACAACGATGAGGTTGAACAATCTTCTGACTACGATGAACATCACTATCTTGGTCCACATTTTGAAGGTTCCACAGCTGGGTGACATTGACACACTTCTCTGCTTTACAGACATGCATTCAGTCTGAGTGAAATTGCAAATCTATTCCATAATGCGAGTCCTCCTGCCAGATGTCACTCAGCTTCATGTGGTCACATCGAGGGTCTTCTTTCAGACACTTCTGCTGACCATCCATCTCGTTTTACAACTGATGGAGGCAAATCAAAAACAGGGTGCCAAATCCACTCTGATCCGTTGGAGGAATCTAGCCTTGTTCACAGTACTCTGTCCAGTAACATGGCTAAAATTGGATGTCCACTGAGCTGCATCCAGTCTTGAATGAGTTCAAAGCACGAGCAGTGATGTTGATGTCCACTTAAGCCATGCCGGCTATACTGCAGTCAGAAAGAAGTGTCAAGACTTTGGTGAATGAGGTTCATGTGTCATGTTCTGACCAGTCAAAGGCATGCAGCCTGTTGCCGTCTCCATTTCAGGAAGTAGTCCAGTCTCAACAGAAAGAAGGAGGTGGCCTGCTGAAGCTTGGGTGGTGTTCTGAATGGAGATCGAGTGGGTGAAAGGTCTCCTCTTGCTGATGAAATGTCGTGGCAGGGTAATGTGCTCTTGAACGAATTAGATGATGAGATTAGGAGGATCACTGATGTTAACACAAATGGTGAAGGGTTATCTGTCCTTTGATGCAGCACGTGTTCCGGATGGGACGTTTTAATGTCTGTGAAAGACCCGCTTTTAACGTGTCTGACTAGAACGCCAAAATTGAAAAACAGCAAAAGAAAAAGGAAGCAAGAGAAGTCCAACCGTCTGAAACCTGAAAATCAAATGTTACATCTCCACCCCAATAAGTGACCAGACATACCTTTTTCAGATTCCTCTTCCTCAGTCTCCTGAAAAGAAAACAAACAAATTATATATGAATTTAATTTCTAATGTTAATAAAGAACTGGGGGATCATTATTGATACTTAGAATATTGATTGACATTCATTTTATTGCCACTGAATGTATGATTTCGGATTTTTTTTAATATACTCCTTTTAAAATGTTGGGTTGGTCACAAATGGCATTTGCAGAAATATTTTTTGACATTCTTTAAATAACTTAAAAGCGTGATTTTGCCAGAAGCATGAAAACAACAATTTAAACAATTTTCAAAGAAATGCTTAAATCATAAAAATATACCAGCGTTCAAAATTTTGTAGTCTCTTATTTTAACTAAGACTACATTTCTTTGATCAAAATACAGTAGAAACGGTAATCGTGTGAAATATTACAAATATATGCTGATTTGGTGATTAGAAAACATTTATTACCACAGTTTAAAACAGATATGCTGTATAATATTTTTGTGGAAACGATACATTTTCTTTCAAAAGAACAATGTTTATTTGAAACAGAAAACACTATAAGGACAAAATTATTGGGGCTATAACAGCTTTCACTCTTCTGTGAAGGGTTTCCACAAAATTTGAGTGTTTCTGTGGGAGCTTTGCCCATTTCGAGTATCTGTGAGGTCAGGTAATGATGCTGGACAAGAAGGCCTGGCTCGCAATCTCTGTTCCAGTTCACCCCAATGGTGTTGGATGGGGTTGAGGGCAGGGCTCATTCAACCATGTCTTTATGGACGTTGCTTTGTGCATTGGGGCACAGTCATGCTGCAATAGTAAAGGGCCTTCCCCAAACTACTCCCACAAAGTTGGAAGCATAGCATTTTCCAAGATGTCTTGGTATGCTGAAGCATTAAGATTCTGTCACCACTCTAGAGTCCAGTGGTGGCATCTTTTACACCACTCCACTTGATGCTTGGCATTGTACTTGGTGATGTGAGACTTGCAAGTAGCTGCTTGCCCATGGAAACCCATTCCATGAAGCTCCCTCCACACAGTTTCTGTGCTGATATTAATGCCAGTGGAAGTTTGGAACTCAATGGAATCAGCAGAGCATTGGCAACATTTGCTCATCATGCACCTCAGGACCCTGCTCTGTGACTTTATGTGGTCTTCCACTTCATGGCTAGGTTGCTTCCACTTTCCAATAATACCACTTACAGTTCAATGTGGAATCCATCCTATCACAGTACCATGCTTGAATTCACTGAGCTCTTCAGAATGACCCTGCTTATTATCGTCAAATGTTTCTAAAATGTTTACGTTCAGAGGCAGATTGCCAGCAACAGTCATTTTAGGAATAGTTTGTGGCTTGGTCTTAGTGACTTAGGACTCCTCTTCACTACTCCTAATGTTTCACAGATTTAGGAGCTAGTTTTAGTGCTAAAACGCTTTGTGAAATACTCTTAGAGCAAAAATGTAGGAGTCCTAAATTTAGGATTGGCACACCCATTATTTTTGAGATTTTCTCCTAAACCGGCGAGTTACGAGCTACTTTTAACCTTAAAGGGGTCATATGATGTTGCTAAAAAGAACATTATTTTGTGTATTTGGTGTAATGAAATATGTTTATACGGTTTAAGGTAGAAAAAAAACACATTTTCCACATACTGTAGATTGATTCTCCTCTATGCCCTGCCAACTTAACTACTGATTTCTAGTCGTGTCCATTTTTGGAAGGCCAAACAAAGTAGATTCGCTTTCACAATGAAACACAGCGTCACACACGGTGGCCTAGAGTGAGCAGAGGCCGGGGGGCTAGAGTGAGGAACGGCCGGAAGGCTAGAGTGAGCAGAGGCGGCGGGCTTGAGAATTGCGCAGCCAGCGGATTTGACGAAGGAGCGTCCGGAGGGCTTGCGGCAACCACATGTGAAGAGCCCGGGCTGGACTCCGCTTCATCCACGGTGAAAGCCGATCACCTTAAAGGGGTCATATGATGTTGCTAAAAAGAACATTATTTTGTGTATTTGGTGTAATGAAATATGTTTATACGGTTTAAGGTAGAAAAAAAACACATTTTCCACATACTGTAGATTGATTTACAGATCTTCTTTATGCACCAAGAGCTTGTAACACTCCAAAGAGAAAGGAAAAATTGAAATCGCATCATATGACCTCTTTAAGATGTTTTGTGAATACGGGCCCTGAACTCACTTTAGAGGTGTATCCCAATACTTTTGTCCATATAGTATAGTTTGTCAAACTTTTGATCAGTATTGCATATTAAAAAACAGTTCAGATATCTGTGTGTTATATCTTTGACTTCTCATTACCAAATCACAGTTCATAAGAAATTCATTAAAAAATAAATGTTTTTAACATGCATTGTTGATGATTTTATATTAATTACCAATGAACTAAATTTACTACCACTTTCAACTTTGAATAAAATAGCTTGTTTGAGAATATAAGTTATGTACCACTATATCTTTCATGAATAAATCGAACATTATATAATACTTTCATATACTGTTCAAACACATTCAAATATGAAGATTTATTTATCAAACTGTAAATAATAAGGTTACACATCCAACAATAGAAGTTTGTAAAGATTTATATTGATCTAATGCAATATTTGTGCAGATTATTAGACCTAATGTTTTTATAAAACAGTACCTAACATTCATACTAGGGATGCACAATTAATCGAATTTCTAATCGCAATTACAATTACGGATGCCACAATTACGTAATCGTTCAAAGCGGCAATTAATCATTCAAAGTCCACTTAAGTTATTCTGCGTGCTTAAAATGCATTTTTTCTTTCTACATGTTATCTTAATTGTCACCCGTCCCCTCTGTTGGACGCCTAAGTTTACTTCACTATAGGGGTGTGCGATATATATCGTCTGCAATAATATCGTAATTGTTGTTTTAACGATGTGCGATTTGACATTATCGAGTATTTTGCAAAAACCATTCAAAACATCCCTACAGAGCACACGCATACATTACGTGAAGTCTAGACTAGTTTGTGTGCGCATTTAGAGTGCGTTCTTTCACTGTATGATTCAATCTATTATAATGCATTTAGAATGATCACAAATTCAAGATATGGCAAAAAAAGCCTTTTTCTCTATCACACTTTAGAAATCATCAGAAATTATATATCAATTGAAAACTTCAAATCTCAAAATTCATCCTCTGAAACCCATTTTAAAATCAGACATTGCATTACCATGAAAATGTTACATCAAAATCATGTTACAAAATGTTTTAATTCATGAATTATAAAAATTTAAGTTTGGATAGTGCACTTTCACGTCTATGTTCAAAATTGTGAGTGATAGTTAAGGGGTTAAGGGTTTTTCCCATTATTTTAATTTTAGTATAACATTATAATACCATTCATATTTTTACTTTTTTATAATTTAAAGAAGAAACCAATCCGATGTTTAGTTGACATTTGAGGCTTAATACTATAGACAAGCACTAAAAGTTTTTCAGTTAAGAGTGTTTTCAGCTTATTTTCATATAAAAATATGGCATGCAGTTGCATCAAACAATGGTATAAACATCACTCAATGTAAATTGTGATAATCATAATTAATAATCGCAATTTCAAGGGAATAATCGACAATTATGATTTTTGTCATAATCGTGCAGCCCTAATTCATACTAACATATTACTCATTTATTAGTCCAGTTTCAATGAACCCAATATGTGGCAACAATTCCACTCCCATACCTTAGAGAAGGATTCCTCTTCCATGATGGTGTCAGCATCCAGGTCGGTCTTCTTTCCTGAGGATGTGTAATAAAGCTTTCCGATCAACTTTTGAAAAAGATACACATGGGGGAAGTAAAAGGGTTGGGTTGGGTTCGGAGCGTGACGGTCTACCTTTAGATTTGCTGTGTTTTCTCGTGGGTGTTTCAGCTGATACGGTGATCTCAATGTTGTCTGGATCTCCACCTTCATCTTCTATTGCCTTCACACAAGAACGCATGACCATTCAAATGATTATGGGAATCTCAATATTTGAAACAATGATTCAGACCATACTGTGCTTTGCATAATTTATCTATGATAAATGTGTTAAACACATTGCATGCAAAAGATTTGAGCATAATAATACTATTTTTTGTTTAGACAAATTTGGACTGAGTGCGTTGTAGCGGCATTCGCTTGCTAAGAGAATTTAGCCTACTTAACAAATCCTAGCAGATTAGGTTTCTGAAACTGCTAGTACATATTTCATGTCAATTCTGTCACACTTGGTATCCAACTACGGGCATTACATCTGTGTTGTTATTAAATACATTAAAACATTCCGGAATGCAAACATGTTTTAGGATACAAACGGCTATGCTAACTCCTTAGCCATCAAGCTAGCTCGCGATCATTTATCCACACGCCATCGTAATTTACGGTTTAAATTAAAATTACCTGCTTCAACCTAGCGACGAGTGTATTTTTTACCCCAGTAACATCCAGATTTCTTCGTTTGAGTTCTGATTTGAGGTCTACCACACGTAAATCTGTAATCTTCTTAGTCTCCACTGAAATGGCCCCCGACGCCATTTTACCTGTGTGTCCGAGGCTCTGTGAGTGTGAGTGTGCGTGCGTGCGTGTGTGTGTGTGCGAGCGCCACAGGACGCTCAAACACAGCCGCCCTGTTGACAACTTTGTTTTTGATCGTGAAAATACAAATATAAGGATACGCTGAACACATATTTGATTGCACATTTTACGTGCGCTAAGATTTAATTACATTGACAACGTCCTAAAACTTAACATAAGTAGGCTAATTATTACTTAAATACCCCTTCATTTTTTTCATGTTTTGTTATGTTGCAGCCTTATGTTAAACTAGTAAACTAGTAATGGGAGAAATTAACCTTTTCAAAGCTTCGAATCAATTGAACCAATTGCTTCGCAAAATGATTCACTGTTTCGAAGCGCTCGAATCACCACACGCTGCTGACGCCTGATGGTCAAGGCTGTGTAAATGCAACAAAAACTCAGGCTAAAACATGCATAAAAACTGCTTTTTACAAACCCAATGCAAATGCTTTCTTGTAAGTATAATATATTAAATGCTATCAAAATAATTAAATACCATTAAATATGAAGTGTCTGTATAATGTGTTTTTTAACATTATTATTATTAATTTGCAGGACTTGTTTTGTTTGTTTTATGGAGAGCTTAAACAAGCCAGTAAGAGACTACAACTCATCCTTTTAATTACACAAATATCTCGTTAAAAATGTCTACAAATTGATAAAACTGATCCGAGATCAGAGACGATCAATGGTTCGCCGCTGGGAGGCGAGCTCAATTAACTCGCATGATTCACGTATTCACGCCCCAAAGGCAAAACTATGGACCCTTTTCACATTTCCGGGTTTCTCAGCAGCGGAAGTCGTCATAGTTGGGTTAACTTGAATAGCAGTGAATGGGAGAGTACCACAAATATATTTTTTGCATTCCCATTTGCTCAAATAGCAATAGAAAAACTCCACGATAGTGTTTTCATGACTTTCAATAAAAGGACAAAAATTGAGAGAGACTGATAACGGCTGTCAGAAGAGAGAACGATGTCAAATTTACCGTCCCTTCCATAGACGCTGCATTAGAAACGCCCTCGCATTAGCGTTAACTGTTTTTTTGTAATTTGATGCAAAGGTGATATAATACAAAGAATAGTGTTATAAATGTAGATACATTAACAAAAATCATTAGAGCTGTCTATAAAAACCAGCAGGCAAGAGTAGTGTTATCAGTCAGGAGAAGGAGGTGGATTTAATTCTATCGTAAGCTCATTTTGTTATTTTTAAGGTATGATGTGATTTGTAGGTTGAAAGTACTGAATGTTTTCACACATTTTTAAAAACTATATAGCCATCTGTGCAGTGGCGGATTAAGACTCTTTGGTGCCCCTGGGCAACGACACCTAGAGTGCCCCCCACAAAAAATAATTAGATTTTAAAAAATGAATGAATGAATGAAATGTGCTTCATGTGATAATTTAGATACTTTTTTTTTGTGCAAAATTTATATTAATAAAATCAATCTGATAACAAGACTACGAAAATCCTTACAAAATCAGGCTGTTCTAAGATGTAATATAAATCTTAACTGTATGCAGCAAATTGAAACATTTTATAACTAGTGAAGCCAACTGTTACAGGTATAATAATAATCTAATCTGCTAATCACTTCAGACTCTATGGAAAAAAAGAAAGAGTGGATAATCTTTTTAGAGTCATTGTTGTCCTCAGCTCATTTTTCATTCATTTCTATTTAATTTACAAAAACACTTTCTAATGTTTTACTCCCTTGTGTAAAAAGGGTGTTTTCAGAAGCCAACTGTTACAGGTATAATAATAATCTAATCTGCTAATCACTTCAGACTCTATGGAAAAAAAGAAAGAGTGGATAATCTTTTTAGAGTCATTGTTGTCCTCAGCTCCTTTTTCATTCATTTATATTTAATTTACAAAAACATTTTCTAATGTGTTACTCCCTTGTGTAAAAAGTGTGTTTTCAGAAATGCAACAATGAGTGCATGGTCTTGTTTGCAATTACATATACAGTGCTTAACAAATTTATTAGGCCACCACCCAATAGGTTTGTGCCACAGCTGCCCTAAAATAAGTATAGGTGATTACCAAAATTACCATTGTTATTTTTCTGTAATGGTTAATCCACCAGTATGTGTAAAATCTGTAGCCACAGTAGTGTTTCTAATGCTAAAATATAATTATTGTTGGGATTTAATGATTCTAAGAGAGATTGCACAAAAGTTTAATTTAAAGGCAAGTCTTTGGGAACAAGTAGAAACTATTTGGAAGTCAGTAACAACAGAGATTGTGGAAAAGTGCATAAAAATTATGCCAGCAAGAATGCAAGCTTTTATCAAGGCCAAAGGAGGCCATAAAAAATAAAAATAAAATAGCCTATTTATATTTTTTCGTTTATTAGTTTTTGGTTATTATGTGTGAATAAAGACTATTTAGTTGTTTCAGTTTGTTATTTGCCCAATGATAACGCAATTTTTAGTTTTAAACAAGTTTTTGACGGGCGGGGCGGTCTATAAATTTGTTAAGCCCTGTATATAGCTACATATAGTTTTGTGATGATTTGAACCGAAAATAAAACTTACAAACTCACTCGTTTACACTTTGCCCCTTTCTTGATTGCCAATGTCTGCAAAGTACAACGTGAAAGCGCAAGGCTGACGCTCCGTAGCGGATTCACACATCCATGAGCGAGGCATTTCAGTTGAAGAGACGGGAGTTGCGCGACAGCCTGCTCCTAAAATCGGTTTGAGTAATATGTGACCGTCGAAACGAAAGCGCACGGGTTCACGCAGTAGGCTAGCCTATGTGTGAATCTGGCGATAGATCGCGCATCCTCTGTTTCACGCATGAGAGAAACAAAACAAAAAACCTTTTAACAAAACTTTCAGAGAACTTAGTACGTTCTGATGAAAGGGTAGCCTATGTATAGGACACGGCTAGATAGACGTTTGAGAATACATCGCTTGTTTTACCGCAGAACATTTATTTGAGTGGTGCCCCTGGGCACTTGTCCAATTGCCCATATGGTTCATCCGTCTATGCCCCTCCCCTGCCCCCGCTGGACTGCATTCATATTATTTTTTTTATCAAATAATACGTCATTAATAGCGGTTCACTTCCGCGATTTGGTACGATTGCGTTCACATCAGCAGCGAACCGTACCGGAGTTCACTTGAACCGTACCCCAAACCACCCTTTTCAAGCGGACTCGGGTACGGTTCGCGGGTGCGCACCCCAGTTCGGAAGACAGCGTTCACATCATCCAAACGAACCGAACTCTGACGTCAGTCGAACCCGGGTGCGCACCAAAAGTGATAGTGTGAAAGCACCCTTAAATGACTTTTTTTTCCCACATCAATCTACACTCCATACACCATAATAGCAAAGCAAAAATAGAACTGTCACAACTTTGTAAATTTATAAAAAAATAAAAAACTGGAAGAAGTACATTGTATACGTATTCATACCCGTAACTCAGTACTTAGCTAAAGCACTTTTACAGCCTCAAATCTTTTTGGGTATGATGCGACAAGCTTTGTACATCAGCATTTGGCAATTATCTGTCATCTTCTCCTCTCAAGCTCTCTCAGGTTGGATGGGGGCAGACACACATTTTCAGGTTTCTCCAGAAATATTTGATTGGGTTCAATCTCAGGCTCTGGCTGGGCCACTCAAGGACATTCACACAGT